TTTTAAAAGTATTAGCCTTTAAACTAATAATACTTTATTTATTAGAACTAATAATTTTATAAAAATAAAATAACTAAAGTTCTAAAAAACTAAATTCTTAGCTAAGAAATATAAATCTCTTACTTTTAATTATAATCTCAAGTTTAATAAAAATATTATTTATATAAATATTACTAGAATTACTCTTATATAAAAATACTAATATAAAAATCTCTAAATTATTTCTATAAAAAATACTACTATTATAAGTAATAAAAATGCTATTTATTAAAATTTCTTTATTAAGAACTAATATATTACCTAATATATTAAAGAAATATATATTATATTAGTTTATTAATTAGAAGCTTTATATAATTTATTAATTATTATTTAAGCTATTAAACTCTCAGAAACTAATATAAAAGCATTTAATAAATATATTTAATAGTAAATTAAGAATATTATTAGAGAACTAAAATTTATAAAACTAATAAAAAAGTTCTTATATTTAATTATTTTTACAAATGCTTTATTTATAAATAATAGAGATTTCTTTTTTTAAATTAAATATATTCTAGTTTTAGTAAACGGAATTAGATATACTAATATTATTTATTAGTTCTTTATTAAATATAAGAGAATTATTAGAAGTATTCTAATTTCAGAACTTTATAATATAACTTATAGTTTTAATATAAGTGCTTTAGTTAAATCTATAATTAATAAAGTACTAGAAATAAAACTTCTATTAATAGTTTATATAAATTTAAAGTTCTTATATAAATATTTTATTAAATTAGGAACTACTCGAGAGAAATATCTAATAATTAATATAATATATCTTTATTAAATATATAAATAATAAGAAATTATAGAAATCAAATAAATTAAAAAAGAATCGAATTCTATTAATTCTATAATAAAATCGAAGCTAATAAATACTCTTAAATATCTAATTAATATAAATATAATATAATTAAATATAAAAAAATATAAATAAAATAGGAAATAAATATATAAAATAAGAAAATATTATAAAAGAAGAAGTTATATATAAAAGGCTATAGTCTTTAATATATAATTAAAACCTTAAAAATAATATAAATATATAAAGTATTTAAGAAATCTAGTATTAGACCAAATTAGGAAATTTATATATAATTAGAAAAAAGTATTATTTTTTATATTTTTAGAAAAGTTCTAATATTAATATAATTATAATTATTAATATAATTATATAACCTTATATTATATAAGTAATTTAATAAATAAACTAGACTTTATTAGGCTTAGTGAATTTAGGAATTATATATTAATATATTAATATTATAATTTCTATTTTTAAATAATAACTTTACTAATTTTAATATATTAATATTATATATTATTAGTAAACTAATATTAAATAATAGCTTTTATAATAATAATATTAACTAAATTATATAAAAAATAATACTTATTTAGAATTATATAAAAATAATAATAAATTCTTTTAAGTTATATATTAGAAATATTTAAAAAGCTAAGTCTTTTTAAAGCTAGTATATTATAAAATATATATATTTTCTTATAGATTTCTATATTCTAGAGTTTTTTTTTAGCTTTAAGTTATTTTTATAAAAAATCTTTTATTTTATTTTTTAAGTCCTAAATATTATATTATTAATAATTAGTAAATTAAGCTATATATAAAAAACTAATAAATATAATTAAAAAAAATTACTATTTTAATTAAATTTATTTCTAAGAAAAATATTTCTAAAAAAAATATTTTAAAAAAATATTTATTACTTTTATTAAATATATATTTTCTTATAAATATAAATTATATTTTATAAAAATATTTATTACTTTTATTAAATATATATTTTCTTATAAATATAAATTATATTTTATAAAAACCGAAAATCTTTTAGTTATTAAATATTATAATTTATTAAATATTATAATTTATTAAATATTATAATTTATTAAATATTATAATTTATTAAATATTATAATTTATTAAATATTATAATTTATTAGATATTTAAATACTATATTAAATAAAATATAAAATTATAATAAATAATATTTTTTATTTTTTAAGTTTTTTTAAATTATTTAAAAAAAAATTATTTTATTTCCTAAAAAAAAAAGTATTTAATAAGTTTTATAATTAAATAAAATAATACTAAAAGTTTAAACTCGATTTTACTTAAAATATAAATTCTAATTAATTTTAAAACTAATTATTTAAATATATAACTTATTTTTTAATTTTTTAATTTTTTAATAAAATTTTTAAAGTTTCTTAAAAGTATTTTATTAATAAATTTAAAATATTTAAAATATATTAATTAATTAAATATTAAACTATTTCTAATAAATTATATATAATAATAAACTTTATTTTATTATAGTTTTTTTAAAAATATTATAAAATTTATTTTTAAAAATACTTATAATAATATTAATTCTAAAAAAATATTTATTCTAAATTTAAAATTAAATTCTAAAAATTACTTTTTAGAAAAATATAAATATTTTCTATTTTTTAAAAAACTTTTTATAATATAAATTAAATATATAAATCTTAAAAAACTTTTCTTATTTTAAATATATTTTAAAAATATTATATAATAGCTTTTAATAAATAATATTGAAATTACTTTTAAAGTTTATTATATTAAAATAAAATAAAAATTATTAAAAAAAAGAAAATAAATTTATAAATAAAGTTTTTATAAAATATAATTATTAATATAATTATTTCTTTAGAAATTATATATATAATTATAGGATTCGAAATATAAATATAAATAATAAAATATAAAATATAAAATATTATTTTATATTTTATAAATAATTTAACTAGTAAACTAGATTCTATTAGATTTAATAAATTTAGGAATTATATATTAATATTATAATATTATAATTTTTATTTCTAAATAATAACTATTTTATTAATTTATATAAATAATATTTTATAATTATATAATAGTATTATATATTTCTAGTAAATTAATAATAATAAATTAAAAAATATTCTAAAAAATATTCTTATATTATTTTAATTAATTATATTTACTAATTCTTGCTTTTATTAAAATACTTTTATTTTAAATATTAATTCTAATATTTTAATTATTATTAGAAATATTATTATTATTATTATTATTAGCTTTTAAAGATTTCTAAAAGGCTTTATTAAAAGCATTAAATAAGTTTTATTATTATTTATATTATAATTAATTTAATTAACTTTTTTTTATAGAAATAGCTTTAATAAAATATTATTATTTATTAAATAATTTTCTTTAAAAATAAAAAAATTAGAAACTAAATTTAATATAAAACTAATCTTTATTTCTTTTATAAAGTTTAAAAAAGCTTCTAATAATATATATATATATATTTAATAATTTATATGTCTAAAGCTTATAATATAAATAGTAATATAAATATAATATTAAAGAGCTATTAATTTCTCTAATTAATTCCTGTAATAATCGAGGTTTATTATATGTTTTTTAATTATATATTATTTTACTATTATTATTATTTTATAAGTAAAAAATACTATTATATTAAATATAATTAAATAAACTAGAAGATTTATAAAATTAATAGCTATAGTTTATATAATAAATAAAATATTTAAAGAATTAAATATAGTAACTCAAATATCTAATATTAATTAGATTATTTAATTTAAAAATATTAATATTAATATCCGAATATTATTTGCTTATAAGTATATTATGTAATCTTTATGCCTCTAATTTATATTTCGAGGTTTATAAGGCAGTATTAAATATAAAGAAATAATTAATACTAGAGCTAAAGTTAATATTCTTCCTAAAAAGTATGGGATGGGCAAGCCAGCTCCTCATCTCTGAACGTCCAACCCAGAGAGAAATTTACCATCTTTTGCTCGGGGCGATCATTCTGACCTCCAAATTCGAAACAACTGCATTGGCGAGAATGGAACTGGCGAACCTTTTTGGGAGCTAAGTCATACATTCAAGTATGGAAAGGGTGCGGATGCTGGATATGAACACATCTTGAGCACTCATCTAAGTTTGTTGAGCCACGGGAGAACAATATGTGCAGTTATTCGAGCTTTGAGTGACTTCTTGGCGCAGTAATACACTGTTGATTGACATGCATGACCGCAAAGAATGCACGACGAGCGGAGCAACTTAGGAAATTGGAAGAAATCATTGGGGAGCGAGCATTGGACCTATCAAAGATGACCTGGATGGTTCCTGGTTCGGTTTGTAGATAATTACAATGTTTATGGAGATGTCACTTCTCTTTATCTGAGGTACTAGACGGCATCTGTGTCCTTGCCTAAATCATATTCTAGAGCTTTGCTGGTATGAGGACGGACGCTCTAGAAAGCACAGCTGAATGGAGACCGTGTCGATTATTCAAGTCGTGTAGTGAATAAAGCATGGCTTAACAGTATTTCCAACATATCCTCCAGCTATAAATACATGCCCTTTTCCATCCTCTAATCAACAAATCGCTCTTCAGAACTAAGCCAAAACACCAGGAATTCCCCAAAACCCCTTCCGAGAACAGCTTATACCCTATCTAACCCATCATAAAAACAAGATGTTCCCCATCACCATCGAAGAAGCACCCACCTCCGAAATGACCAACACAGTTCATCTCCGAGGCAGCCATGACTCAGACGCAGACAACGAACACTGTTCTGATTCGAGCTGTGCCCGCGCATCCACACCCTCGTTGACACGCTCCGCATCCACGACATCGGATAAATCGCTAGCAAGGAGTGGGGAATTAGAGCGTAATCCGAGTCCTACATACTCAAGTAGCGACTTTTATTCTGTTAGTGATGAGTGCCTGAGTGGTTCTTGAAGGGAGTTTGAGGAAGGAAGTAATGTTGAGCGGCGGAAACTGGGGTCATTGGCTGCCGAGTGGGGACGACATTGTGGACTTCGTTGAGCTTCAAGCGGAAGATGGAGAGTAATTGAAATTCACAATCGTTGAACTTGAAGTCGAAGACGCCTTTCTCCGTTCCTATATTTCCCAATGACGATTAATCCTGGGCCGTAATTCACATGCTCCTTTACCAACACTGCCCGCTGGCTCATCGCACCTTTCACCAGCATTTAAAAGTAGACCGAAGGGTTCTATCATATGGGAAATCTCCTCCGTCGTTGCTCAAACATGAACAAAATCCTTCAACTCGAGCGCCGCTGCTGCTGCGCCCACTCGCTGACCCTCGCTCTCGATACCCCATGCTAGTCCGTCGTCCCTTAATCTCTGCCGTATTAGGTAGCGATACTGGTCCAGGTGAGTGTCCCAAATAGGACTTTCGCTTGTCTTTCTTTGGGTATCGGATCATTAGGATACTTCTTTGCCATTTCGTCCAAATGATCCCTCAAGCCCTTGATCAATGCGTCGCCTTCCGTATCTGCACCGTCTTCGGGCTCCATTAGATTCCGGGCATTAGCGTAGCTCCGATGCATACTGTTGGACGATTCACCGTTCTGGGATTCTGGTTTGGCCTCCCAGTTCGTCGCAAACACCACCTCTTTAAGCTGACAGGTACATTTGAGAATGATCATCGTTGGGTAGTCAACGAATCTAGCGGTTGGTGGTATTGGTATGACTAGGCGTCGAACCTTTTGGCCAGCAGCTCTTGCCGCGGCTGAGTTGCTGGGAAACCCGCTTGTTACAGCAATGTAAAATCCTGCATCGATTGGTTGCACTTTGTTGTGGGGTAAAATGCACAAAGTGTCTTCCGCGTGATTCATGTATATTATAGTGTCAGGGACATGATTGATATCACCGAGTGGCCGTTGTAAAAGCCTAGCATAGTGCTTCAGACCTTGCTCTCGGGATTCCTTGCATACATGCAACACAGCTGGGTTAGGTCCCAGAGGTGTAAAGCCAAAGTCAATGGGGGGTCTGAACTCAAAGTCAAAGATGGACGATGGTTGAGAAGGTCTGTGCGGATTGCGATAAGCTCGAACTTCAACCTCGACAATTCGTGGCTCCTTGCATGTTTTGTCCCAGATCATGGTCCGAATCTCGAACAGCAGTTTCGGGAACAAAGTGAAGCGGGCTCGCTGCTCGGTCTTTATCGTCACGCTACTACCGCCCCTAGCATCGTCCTGCATATCTGGCATCTCGTTGATGTCGGAGCCTACTTTGCCATCACCGGGCTTGAACTGCACATGAAACTATCAGTTCCGATGCAATGAAGCTCTGCACGGTTCGCATACCAGCTCCGGCATTGTCTCAACCTTTAAGTCCGTTGGGAAGTCGTCGTGAAGACACCCAAGCCCCCCGAGATCCTTATTAGGTGGTGACTCGCCTGCAGCGTTGACGTTTGAGCTGTCCATCAAGGTCATGTTCTTAGCTTCACCGACAGAGGAAGCTGAAGCTGCTTCACTCTAGAGCCTGGGCGAACATTACTACAGGTTGGTCAAAGCCACACGATCGATGCACATGCTCTCATGGACATACCTGGCAGTGTTTCTACAATTCTTTTTCTCTCTAGTTGCGATACTGCACAAACGGAGGTCGATGTTGGGGAAGGAGAAAGCTACGACGTCGCAAATGCAAGCGGGCTTAATGATATAGGTGGAGTCACGTGATACTCGATGACCCCTCTTTCCCGATCTGGAAGTCCTCAATTTTCAGATGGCTCGTAAGTTGAAAAGAAAATCAGTGTGCCCCCTGCCAACCTCTGCAACATCCCTGTTTTGCTCGCGTAGCATTCCTAAAACATGGGTATACGCCCAAAGGGGAAATGACAGGAGGCCAACTCTGATTAGAATGCATAAGCACCCTCTCTGGGTAAACCCTAGAACGGGTGCTTATGCAATTGAGAATTGAATTCCCTTCTAAGCCCCTTCCCCCACACTTCACAAACTAATTTTTATAATTTTATCGTAAAATAAGGCTTTCTTTTTCGGCTATTCTTTAGCCCCCGGCACGCGCACAAAAGGTGGGCAAGACGCACGTCCCTCTGTCCCTTGTAATCGCTTAGGAAGTATATCCTCAAGGATATACGTGCGTAAGGTATACGTGTGTATACGCTCCTGTGAGGCGCCGAACGGGGTGCCCCTAGCCTATTAAGGTCCTAATATTAGTAGAGAAATAAGCTTTAGAACTCCCAGAACTAGCGCTCTGTCTAGTTTCTGTTCCAATCTTTACTTAACTCTTGCAAGTCATGTCTGCGTCGGCCTTATCTAAGCGCCTGGATCCTTCTTTGGTCATTGGAAGGAGTAGTGAGTTCTCTGCCCCCCGCCACCACTTGTCCACTTGTAGTTGTTGCTGACTGCAGATGTGCCGCTCTACTAGCAGCCCCCAAAGTACATGCTCGCACGGTTCTCAGCGGGCAAGTGGGATTTAGCCGATTTAGCGAATGCACGGTTTCCTGCAGGATCAGTAACCCTATGGGAAGCCCCTTAGTCAAGTCCCCGAGCACACACAGGAAGGATTCATACCTAGGTCAAGCATTAGTGCAACTCCGTTAAGGGTCACGGACTTACGGCTGCTCGTCCGCATAAGCGCCTGGCGCAACGTTGCCAAGGCGGTTGAATCTCATCTCGGCTGGTGTGACAGATACTAAGCACCCCTATTGGTACGCACGTCGACCCTGAAGATCTATTGAAAGCGGGATGCTGAAGAAATGGTCATTGCGTTGCAGTCAACGGGACGACCCGCCCCCAAAGTTCCTGGGTCTATTCATGCGCTCCGTTAGCATACCAAATCCGGAAAAGCTCTTTTCACCTCGTGGGGCAACCGTCGTCCTTTGAAATCGTTCACGATATTGTTGAATACCACCCTATGCAACCATCTTTCTTCAGAGTCACCCACAGTATTATTGATTTCCTGCATGTCAACCCATACTTATTCCCTCACCGCAATTCGTATCCTTACCCACATTCACGTTGGGAAGGGTCGTTCACTTATGTCGTCAATTATAATGTAACCGCAGCTCAGCAGCTTTCCAGTGAAAGCTGCAAGCCCGGCGCCTATTTTTCCGAAAGAAGGTCTAGCATAGCTTTCAGAACCTCCATCGAGTACAAGAGAAGTTTTTTCAGCAATTCAGATAGTTTGCAGAGTTGGCAGGCATCCCATACTCCACAATTGCTCGGTTGTTTCCACTATTGGACCCAAGAGCTATAGTTCTTTGCAAATTAACGTTAAGCAACGTACTAGACTAGCTTTTGAATTTGATGGAGGTGATAATGCCTCTGGAAATATACTCTGCGTACTTGCTTCAACAACAATAAGTGATTTAGCACGATAGCTTTCGAAAGTCACGAGATTTTTCCCCGCACTCATGAGTATTGGCTAATTGCGAGGTCTTGTTCACAAGTGATTTCGACCCCATTCAGGCGGATGATTAATTAGTCGGTCCTTTTAGTTCTCACAGAAAGCCACGATCTTTCTCGTGCATGTATTCTCTTAGTCATGTTACTTTTCATATCTCTCAAAGATAGTAGTCCAATCATCAGCTAGCTTTCTCAAGCCACCCAAGATCCAAACGGGCCTGAGAATACTGGTAGTTACGAACCTTTTCCGTTCTCGAACAGGGTCTTGTCCGGATTTGAACGGCTGCATGCTTGCCGTGCGTGGAGGAGCCAGTAGCTGATCCATATTATCAATTAGCGAGAACACCCTTGTATTTTCCATAATATGGATCAACTTTCCTCACTAAAAACCACACTATATCTACTAGCTTTAATAATATATAGACACCAGTCCTCGTTACACCCTCCTTTCAACCCCGACCTCCTCCCAACGGCCCGCCAGGCATACTTCTAGCATATGCTTAACCTTTACTACTAAGAAACACATTAGTAAGTTAGAATATATCTTGCTTTACTATTACTATTACTCTAGCATAACCTTTCTTGGCATATAGAACTCATATACTTAGCATATACTTAATCTTTATTACTCAGAAGTATATAGGTAAATTAGAACATATCTTGCTTTACTATTACTATTATTTGTAATATATACTCGGCATATAAAACTCATATACTTAGTATATACTTGACTCTTATTACTAAGAAGCAAATAAGTAATTTAGAATATATCTTGCTTTACTATAGCTAGAATTAGTATATGCTCGGTATATAGAACCCATATACTTAGCATATGCTAACCCTAACTTGTACGGCCTTTATGCTTTAATATATCCCAATACGGAAGGCTCTCACTGCCCCTCAACCCCCGGACTAACCCGGACCCTAATCCCTGACCCTAACCCCTGACCGTAAGCCCCCTCGCAAGCTCGGGGCTAACCCGAACCTTCCTATAGTAGTCCCTACATATGCAGAGTATAAGGAAAGCATATGCTCCGTATATGCAAAGCACATGCCTAAAATATAACTGCCACAAAATCTATTTATTTGCTCGGCTAGCTGTCTCGCTTCTTTAAGCAATACTATGGTTCAACTAAAACCCCTGCATGGAGAGGGTTTCCACTGCTCGCAATATGCTAAATCAGGAAACTGTCCATTTTGCAACCACCAACAACCTACTTGATAGGCTGAGTAGCACCAATATAACAATGTTAGCGAAAGATTCGCTGGAAGCTGGCCAGCAAGGCGCAGCCATCAGATGTCAGACTAGTCTAGGGCTGCAAAGTCATGCAGTCAGCGTGTCACACACACCCCCAAGCCCTATCCTCATCTGTCAAGATTAGAGAAGGCGTACAAGGAGAGAGTCTTCCGAATGCAATAGTGCGGTACGACTGAAATCAAATATGTAAAGATGACCGCTATTCCCCTTTAATGCCAAGTTTGCCGCGCTTCAAATAGAGAACAAAATTGATTGACAACCGTAACAGGAATGCCCAGCATGACGCCTTCACGTCTGCTAGCTTCTTTTCTTCTAGGTATTTTAACCTTTGCTACGCAATCCATTACTCAAGTCCCGCCAATTATTTCAGGAGAACCTTCACCTCTTATTGCGGATGATGTCGTAAACATCACTACCTACAGCCTTCCGTCGAATAACACGTTGAGCACTTCTCAAACAGCTGAGGTTGTTCAAGGAGCAAAATTGTTGCGGCGTATAAAACAGAGTGACTATTTGCGAATTCTTCCACTTGGCGCTTCGATCACTCAGGGGGTTGATTCCACCACCGGAAATGGGTACCGCAAGCCTCTTAGAGATCAATTGCGGTCGCAGGGTTGGCTGGTCAATATGGTTGGAAGCAAGGCTGACGGATCGATGGTGAACAATGTAATTTCCCAGATACTCCCCCAGGCTTGGCCTGGAATTCATTTGCTAAAACCTTCTGTCTAGGAAAACTCCGGATATCCCGGCTTCATTATCTCTCAAGTCCAAGGAGTTGCACAAAATGCAATTACCGCAGGCTACAAACCAAATCTTGTCCTTCTTAATGCTGGAACGAACGACTGCTTGCAAAATATTGATCCTCCCGATGCACCCAATAGACTCCAGAGTCTCATTCAGGTACGTTGATCTTCTTACAAGTGTTCTTTTTCGAATGGAGAGTTTTAGAAGCGTGAATGGCTCTCCTAATTGATCCGCTTCCCTAAAAGTCAAGAATCAATGGAGCTAATTTAACAACTAGACGTGTCTGAGCGGTATGCCTGGTGTCTCTATCATTGTCTCAACCCTCATTGTCAATGCGAGTCCCTCTGATAATGCTGTAAGTCCAATTCAGCATCTCAATTATCTTCCCCAGCTTAAACTTGGGTTATCATCCCATTCACTGTTCTTTCGGTGTATACACAACCCAGCAGTCAATACCTCTCCATAGACTTTTGATAACGCGTTACTAAGCCCTGAGCACTTTAGTGTGTGAATTCGGTCAATGTTGGAATCAGAGCCATGGTCGCCAGTCTTAATAATCCAGCTGTCGTCCTAGCTGACATGAACGATGGTTTTATCACCCAGTCGGATCTTTCAACAGTCGATGGCATACATCCAAACGATTTTGGATATGAAAAAATGGCGGCGGTCTGGTGGAACGCATTCCAAGATCCTTTTTTTCAAGCCCAGATCTCACCACCTCAGAACAACGGGGCACCCGACGGCACAGCCAGCAACTCCCATGTCTGTCCTAAAGTACTAGGTTTCTCTGACGGAGGGTCTGGTAACGGACATCAAACACAAGGAGGTAGTGGTTATGATGATGGACCATACGCGCACCATTTCAATTCCCTTGGCTCGGTTGCCGTGGGAGGCACCCTAAACCTGTGCCCATACAGCAATGGTGTTGCAGACTTCTCTGGAGTTGCGTTTGCGCAAATCATCAACGGGGGTGGAGCACCCCGTGGCGGCGAGTTGGACGAGCTGATCATAGCATCCTACACGCTCGTGAACGGGAAAGACGCCCATTATTCCTATATTTACCTCCTGAACCAGGGAGGTAATCCTCCTCAATTTGGCGCAGCAACGGCGTTTAATCCGGGATTCAATTGCACGCCTGCAGGTTAGTCTCAAGTCCTGATATGATTGACCTGACGCGCAAATTACTAACGCATTCGCAATAGGGATACATTGGGCAGATATTGTATGTCCCGGCCCTTGAAATGGCAGAATGTGCTGACCTATGTGTGCGATGTAGAATAATGACGGTTTAGGTACGTTACAAGCTCGCATATTCGATGACTGTATGGTAGCTAATGTCGAACCAGATGACTTCCTTTGTGTAGATGGTAGTGCCAACGTTCGCGCTTCGAAGAATAATGGAGATGGAACTTTCACATATCTTGGATCAGTTCGTCTTATAGTTACTCGTTTCATTGATCCTCCTTTTTGCTAAGTTCGGCTAGATCATGACTGCTCCCTCAGGTTCCAATGGGATTTCGGTGCGCTTTGGTGGTAATCCTTCCCTCCGAACGTTCTTCGCTAGGACAAGGCAAAGCTGATCATTCGTTTAGATATGGATGGAGACGGCAGAGCGGATTACTGTTTGGTTTCCCCTAGTCTTCACTGTTGGCGAAATGGCGGTGTAGGGGATGCCCCTGCCTATTGGCAAGAGATGTCAGGCTCTAACACCTTCATTCTGGGTTCTCAAAATGATACGGAGCCAGTCGACACAAAGGATTTCGTGTCGGGAATCATGCTGCGTAATTCTTACTCCGTCCGTTCTTGCATATCGAAAGCTGACTTATCTTAACAGGAGATCTCAATGGCGAGTAAGTTTTAGAACCAGTAACCGGTGGTGTTTCTCGTCGTGTTGATTTTCGCACAGCTTTCGAGCAGAGAGACTTTACATGAACACCCAAGGCGCCATCACCACTGTCATCAACAATCGTGGTACAGGCTACGGAATGAAACCAGATTGGCAATTCATGGGCCTCACGCATGCAGGCATGGGTGTCAATGGGGCCAGGCCGAATATTCGGTTTGGAAGGCTTTTTGGAACAGGTCGACCTGATGTAAGTGTCCTCTAATGTTCGAGATGCGTATGACTAACGTTGGGGCAATTAGTACATTTGGCTGAAGTCTTGCACAGCCCTAAATGGCCAGCAATATATTTGCATGAATGTTTTTCAGAACGAAGACACTGGAGGTATGCATCTGAAGGGTGATGGGTTAGTTGATGTTCCACTCTCGCTCCTCCTATTCTTTCTCTAGATGCCATGAGTTAGTTTGATGACTCGAATTGTGCAATCGCTGCACCAATAAGCGCCTGCAGGCTCGTTATGATGAAGGCCAATTTCAAGTTCAAAGTATTATAGTGCTAATCAACTGCAGCGTAATGTACTGCGATATGCGTGGAACGGGCAGCGACGATTACGTGTGGTAAGATCTTATGTTTCCTTCTGTCGACTTAATTAGTTTCTACTCTTGACGCTTTAAAGTCCTTATTTCTTTCAAAGATTTCTGTTTTCGAGGAGTTCCAGTGGATCAAGACGTCCGGTTTTTACGCTTTGGTGTAAAATGAGCTCCTGACAATCATAAGAAATAACTAACTTATTACTAGGGTTTCGCCAGATGGCCAAGGTTATTTCTTTGGCAATCAACATATCTGGGATCCCCAACAATGGATCCAAGGGTCGACCAATCTCTTCGGAAGTCACATCTATGATCGAAGAGGCATCCGCCTAGCCGATATAGATGGGGACGGCAAGTGTGATGTCGTGTTGTTGAATCAAAACGATGGGACAATGACGTGGATGAAAACGTCGTATGCTGCCAGCACAGGAGCTTTTACATTCACGGCTATGGGCGCGATCAGTGGCCCGTCCTGTGCATATCAGGCTCGGCAAAAATACCTGAGGCATCGATACCGGTATCGATAGTAGAGGTATTTTTCAGGTATTGCAAGGAATCGATAGTATTAATACCAGAATCGATTCTTACCCCAAAAATTAACTCTTTCTTTTATTATTTAAATTATATAATAATATATTATTATATAATTACTTTAATTTCTAGTCTTTCTATTAAAATAAATACTTACTATTATTAATAAAAGTTAATAATATCTTAAATTTAAAATAGCCCTCGTATTCGGAGAATTAAGCCCCGTATTCGTATTTCTTATCAAGACGCTAAATATATAAGCGAGCCTCACGAAAATCTCAAAAGCTCATTTTTACTTAAAATAGCCGCATTGAGATAAGTTTTGGTCTAAAATATAAGATAAGTAGCTAAATAGAAAGCCTAAATCAAGTAGAATATTTGCGCTACCAAAAGTTTTCTTATAAGAGAAGTGGTTCTAAAGTTAATTGCAAGTAAAGGGGGGGAATTGGGTTCGGGGAATCGATACTACTATCGATACTATCGATACCTTACGATTCTGGCATCGATACCTATCGATACCGGAAATTAAGGAATTTTTGCCGAGCCTGGTGCATATGGCTGGGGCGGGATAGGTCTTTCCGACCTCGCCGTTCGATTTGCCGATATCAAGTAAGAAGAGTAACCATTCGCTGAGTAAAGCACTGACATTTGGACCCTTTAGTGGCGACAAAAGGCCAGACTACCTTTGTATGCAACCAGACGGCCGAACTCTGGGATTTCTGAATATGGGCATCAATAACTGGGTGAATGTCGGCCAGGTCAAAAAGACGGAAAATTGGGATCGGGCAAACATTCATTTTGCTGACGCTAACGGCAAGCTCTCTTTTCCTTCTTCTCCCCAAATCAATGGAGGTAGGAACTTCTTTGGATGGTTCATTGCTAACACATGGCTTGATGTTTCCAGGAGATGGGCGAGCAGATTTCCACTGGGCTGACAAGTTCACCGGTGATGTGACTGTTTTCTACAACCAAGGACAAATTCCAAGTTCTGGCAGTTCATTTACGTGGTCCGATGCAGGAGAAGTTTGGCGAGGCTCAGCTTTCAATGACAGGGGCACCAATTTCCATTTCCCAAATCTAAATGGACTGGGACGTGCAGATATGCACGATGTTAATCCTCGCGTCAACTCTGTACGTGTGCTACTCATCACCCTCCAACTCCGTTAAGGTACCCACGCTGATGCGATACATTTTGCGTATACTTAGGCTCGTACTTGGTTCAATATCTGCCCGGGTTCGAGAAATGGTGGGTCAGGTGATGATCCTGGCTGCTGCGCCGACCCAGGGCTACCTGTCTACGTTGCCTCCGGCAGCAGTGCTGTCAATGTAGGCACTCCAGGCCCGGGATTTTCAGAACCCTCAGATACCTTTCTTCCGGGCTTCGAAACGCCAGTCTATGGCCTAGGAGATACGCTTTTGTTCGATACGCCTATATTTTCGGAAATCAATCTTAATGTGATTGTAATCGGTAGGGAAACACAATGGGCCGATAGCAATTGCGGGACAGTCTCTGCCCCTGATGCTGATGGAGACACTCTCGGATGCGTTGCCCTCGGCATTGCATGGCTCACCTATTCGGTATATTTGTTGGACGGTGGACCAGGAGTCGGTACTCCCGCTCGCAGTCTGTCCTCTTCAAAGCATCACTTCCAGGTACACTCACACTGGGAACCCGTGGGAAACTGCACGACAAGTTGTATGTTGCTAGGTCATGCTCCACAGCATGTCTGGACTCCTGTCGGGAACGGAACCTACAATGGCATACACCACGAACTCCACTTCATGCACACAGACAAGTTCACGGCTCACAGAGCTTTCCCAGGAGTCGTCAAGCCTGGCGACGACAACTCCACTCTTACTCCTCGACAATGGGTTTCGATCAAGGGCCAGCTCATCAGCACCCATGGTGTTAGCCCTAACACATTCTTATACAACTTGCGCCTTCAAGAGCTTAACTATGCGGCTACCATTAATGAATACCCTTCTCCAGATCATGAAGCGGCTCCAGAGTGGATGGGACAATCTGTTGAGGAGTCTGTTGCATTGTCAAACAATAGTGGTTTCTGCTTTACACTCATACATGGAGGTGCGGTCGTTGATTCGTCGGTACTAGGCCTTTCCCAGACCGGGTCAGAGTGGGGGTCAGACTGGAACTCAGCCGGCGACATCGAAGACGCCCTCGCAAAATGCGCAGCCGACAACTTGGATGGCAAACATATCGGCAACGGTGTCCTGGTCTGTGGACATAACTTGACACGGATTGACCGGTCTTTGGAAGACGACCCGGATGGAACTTCAGATCCAACTGGTCTCAAGGCCCGCAGCCTGAACAAACGGACAGGGTCTTCGGAAAACTACGCAATACGCAATATGGCTCAGGTTATTGCCGGTGCCGACCCTGTGACGATCATTAATTGGCAGAGTGCTCCGTACATCAACGGTGCTAATGGACAGAATTTGCAAGCAGCTACCGGCGACGATCACGCGTACACGCTTGCCAATCCGGGTATTTGTACTGATGCGAGTATCAGAGATGATGCTGAGCTCGATGGTCCAAATGCTGTCGCTGTAGATGCAGAGCACATCTTTGAGCGCAACACCGTACCGGCGATTTTCGAATTTGCCCAGACTCTAAGTATGGATCTTCAGGATGGAAACGGACCTATTACACCGGCAGGTCTGGTGCCTATTCCTTTCACGATCATAGAGAATTTTGCAGCCGTTGATTACAGGCTATGGCCTAATGTTCCAGCCGATGCACCTTTTGGGAATCTCTTCGATGACCTTGCCGACGCCCTAGGTTCAACCAGTAATCCTGACGTGATGGCAAACCTGGAGCATGTCCTGAATCTTGTGAAAACACGAGTATGGCGCGCTCTTGATGTCACATCTAATGACGTCTGGGGTCCACTCGTAGCAACCCCGACAACACGTAACACTCAAGACGCTCTGGATCTCATGCGGTCGGTGAGTAATTTCTGTGCAGGTACTTCAACGTCGAGCAAAGGTCAGAGGCTGATTCAAACTTCCGTCTGCAGGGCATTACCGTGTTCAACTATATCGACGACGGCCCAGTACAGAGCAAAATGGGGTTAATCCACGATGCTCTAAAGGCCTCTTTTAACACATTTGACACTATCTTCAACACCTATGAGCAACCACACATTCCAAATCAACAGCCAACTCAATTTGAAGAAATTTACGTCGTCTTTATCAATTACTTCACCCGGAGAATGACAAGCCATTACCGAAATTACGGACAGACAAGGCTCAACCAATTGTCAGCAGGGTGGAACAACGTGTTGGCACAAAACCCCACACCACAACAAGCGGCAATTGCACAAAGCTGTTTAAAGGATATAAAGGCTCTCTATGATGAGGTTACTGCTCTAGTTTTTGACAATTCAAATTTCTCAAAGTAGTGTAGTCGTCATGAGTTGTTTATTGAGGAGATTTTCTTTGGTTTAGTAGTTATCATTACTTTGAAACTTGGAATTTTTGGAGCTTGTCTTCAACGATTTCATCTTCGTACTATCGGAAGCAGTTAGAATGATGATTGGCCAGGGTGTGGAAGTCATCAAGGACATGCAAGCGAGGCCCATGTGTCCGGTTTACTATCGGTATTTAGCACTCTAGCTACTTTTATATTTGATAATCCATCCCTTCATTTTTGGGACCAAAACATTTGAGCCCGTATCGCTAGCACATTCGCTTCAGCCCCTTTCTACGCCTAACACGTGATCCAAGCTTCGTCAAATCACGAACCAAGCAAACTTTGCCTCATAATGAACTTGAATATCGATCTGACATTACTCCGTGTCTGGATCAACATGCAAAGCTCAATCTCAAGTGTAACTAACGACCTTAAATACGCTTGTATCACATGACTTCTCCTTCCCGCCCCCGCATTCAATGCCTTTCGCACACCAATCAACGCATCATAACTCCATGTAACTATCCTTGCGCGCTCCAGGATACAAAGCGGATTCGATCATTCGACCCGTTTCACCAACAAAAGCAAAGACAACGTGCCACAGCTCATGACGCGATTTGTCAATTAGCTTTCACCACCAAGCGGGACCTTATTGCTTCCATATTGTCGTACGGATACGGGTACTAGCTCAGCTTACTCAGCAGCCCCTTTATTTAGCTAGATCCAGAGGTTCCCTTTAGAGCTTCTTTTAATCAGACAATGTGGGAGGGAAACTGCGACAAGACAAAAGCCCACATAAAGTACACCAGAGCGCAAAACGTGACTTGACAGCAAAATAACAGGATCAAAGGCATAAATAGTAAAGCATAAATAGTATACAGTATACAAAAGCTCAATTAATTAAATATGAAGGATGGGTTCTTGTCTAGAACTATAGAAAAGCCAGCTTTCTTATATAATTCCCGCAAGTTATATATAAAAGGCCCTAGTCTTTATTATATAACCAAAACCTTAAAACTATTAAAACAAGGCGTTTTTAATAGAATATAGCTTGCTATACTATATTTAACCCTCTATTTATTTGTACTTATTTCCTAAGTACTAAAAACTAATAGAAAATTCCTATTTAGAATCCGAAATAATAAAATAGTTAGGATCTTCTTTTACTAGTATTTCTAATTTCTTTTTAATATACCTAAAATATAATCTATTATTTTTAAATAGTTTTATTTCATATTTTTAAACTTGCTTAAAAGTAATTCAAATCCGTTTAATTATATTTTTATATTAAATATAATATAGTTCTTTTTATTATTTAATATTTGTCTTTAATTATTAATTAATCTTAGCCTTTCTAATTAGATACTAAGGTAGCTTATTATAATAAATTATATTATAAATTATACTAATATATTTCAAATAAATAGCTTTTTAAAATTTTATATTATTTTTAAAAATTTTAAATTAATTTTTAGTAAAAAAAAGAAAACTTTTAATAAAAAACTTTAATAATTTTATAAAAGATTTTATTCTCGTATATTTTATTTTAAATAATAACTAGGTTTATTAAAATTATAATAAAAGGCTTTTTAAATAATAAATTATTATTAAGCTATTTTTTAATTATTATTTTATATAATTATTAGTATAGCTATAGTTATATAATATAGAAGTAACTAGAAGTAACGAGATATAAGTAATAATTATATAACCTCGTATTATATTAGTAACTCGACTAGTAGCTAGTTTCTATTAGGCTTAGCAGATTTAGGAATTATATATTAATACTATAATATTATAATTCCTACTTCTAAATAATAACTTTACTAACTTATATAAATAGTATTTCACGACTATATAATAGTACTATATATTTTTAGTAAACTAATACTAATTAGTTTATATTTAGATTAGAATAAGATCTATTTATATATATAGATTAGAAAGAATTAAGCTATATTTATCTAAGATTTAATTACTTAGGGGCAAAGCTATTATTCTAGTTAAAAAGGAAATAACTATTAATCCTATTACTTATAATTCGGTTATATAGGCAGGAAAGATATTTAATCTTACTATAGTCTAATTATATTATATTAAAGAAGGAAATATCTATTAGTCCTATTATTTATAATTCGATTATATAAGTAGGAAAAGTACTTAATTTTGCCAAGTACTAAAATAGTTAGTTATTTAACTATTTTATTCTATTTCTATTTAATTCCTATAAAACCCTTTTAAAAACTACTTTTTTTAAATTCCTGAGGCTCTTAAGCTTTAGAATTATTAAGTTCTCCCGGAATTTCGATATTTTACTTCTTAAATTTCACTTCCTAAATTTCTCGTTATAAACGAAATTTTTACTTTAAATATAATATCTTTTATAAACTATCTATTCTATAAACTATTTTTCTTTTTATGAATCTATTTTTCTTATAAATTATTATATCTCGAACTAGGTATAAGCCTATAGAATATATAATAGCCGAATATATTATAGTAAATAATTTCTTTATTAAATCTATCTAATCTAATTACTTTATAGATAATAATAATTTTAAGGAATTAGTAAAAAAGTAGAGATATGAAATTAATCTAAACTTTACTAAGATAGATAAGATAACTAAGTTCTTAAATACTAAGCTATTTTAATATATTCTTTATAAAATAATTAATAATAATTTTTGAGAGCTATTTAGATATAACTTTAAGAACTTTACTTATTAAGGAAACTTTAATAAATTTGAACTTCCGGAAATACTATATTTATATAAAATCTTTTAGTATAATAGTATATTTATATAATAGAATAATAGTACTAATACTATTATAAATACTTTATATATAATTATAAAAGAAAATAAATAGTATATATAATTAAATAAGAATATATTAGTAGCTAGACCAGACCTTATTAAGGAACTAATCTTATTAGGCTTTATTACTCTTATAAAAAACAAATACCTAGAACTTATTATTTTTAATATTCTTATATTATTATTTTCTTTATTACTTCTTTTATTATTATATCTTATATTTCTACTAGATTTATATACTAATATAAAAGCTTTAGAAATAAATAGTATATTATTATTATTATTATTATTATTATTATTATTATTATTATTATTATTATTATTATTATTATTATTATTATTATTATTATTATTATTATTATTATTATTATTATAACTATATTTAAATAACTCCTAATTTCCTTTAATTATAAGACTTATTAGAGAAGTTATTAAGAACTATACTAAAAAGTAAAAGTATAATAGATCTAATAGTAATTTTAGTTATAAAATTACTATTTTCCTTAATATTTACTAATATATAAAGCTTTTATAAAAGGTACTAATACGAGCTTTTTTTATTATACTAAAGAAACTAGTTCAAAACTATTTCTATAGTAACTAGCTCTTTTAATATATATATAAAAAGGCTTATATTAATATCTATAGCTTTTTTAAAGGCCCTAAATTCGAATATCGGAATATAGATAAGTAAAATACTACTATATTAGCTTTTATAATAGCTAAATTTCCGGAAAAGATAATATTTGAGACTATTTAATTACTAATTAATAAACTATATTAATTATAGTATAGTTTTATACCTAATTTATAAAATACCGAATTTCTTTATAATAAAATTATTATTTATTACTAAGGCTCCCGGATATATAGATATATAATCTCAGATTTTCTTATAAATCTCGGCTAGCTTATTAATAAGCTTTAGTTATCTATTATTATATATAAGAATAAATAATAAGCTAATCCCGAAATCTTCTTTACTAATTAATAATATTATTCTTAGAACTTTCTAAGCTATTATTTCTCCGGAAATTATTAATATGAACTTAGCCATAATTTCGGAACCCGTAATAACTATTCTAAGCCCTGTAATTATAATAATTATATCCCAAAGTCGTGTTTTATATATAAGAAACCCGAATACTATTTATAGAAATATATACTAGAGAAATAAAAGACTAAAAAGGCTCGATTTAAGAATAGAAATATCTATTAGTTCAGATTCCGAAATACCTGTAACTTTAATAAATGCTTTAGTAATACTTATATATAGTATATTACTAAAGCTAAAAGTAAAAAGAATAATAAAAGTAATAAGAATAAACTAGTAAATAATACTTTTAAGGCTTTATTAGTAGAAATAAATAAAAAAGAAAAATACTATTCAGATTCTTACTTTATTTTAGTTAAAAGCTTTTTAGCTACTTCTATTACTTCTACTTTACTAATAACTATAGCTAATACTCTTATAAATAACCTTATTTCCTTTTTTCTTATATATTAGATAATAGGCAAAAACCGCGCCTTAAAACCTATTAAATTTTTAATAGAAAACGCCTAGACTTTTATAATTAATAATATATTAAGATATAATACTTATTACTTTTATAAAGTTATAATTAATACTAGAGTTTCTAGATACTTAACTACTAGTTCTAACTAATTTCAAGCTCTTTAATAAACTAATAATAGTATTAAACTTAATAAAATTACTAAAGATTAAATTAATATCTAGTTTAATATTAGATCTATATCTTTTATTAGATCTATAATAGTAAGTATATTAATTAGATAAGTATAATTTTATATTATATTTTTAAAAATTATATTTTTATTTAGCTTAGCTAATATAAACAAGCTAGGGATCTATTTTAATAATCTTATTAATTATTTTATTATTTTTATTAGAAAATATATATTTATAATATAATATTTTAAATATTCTTTCTTGCTTTAGAATACTATATTATAAGGCTTTATTTCCGAATTCTTTACTTATAATTCCTGCTTTTTTATAAAGATTAAATTATAATATTTATATTATTATTTTAGTTATTTATTTATTAGTAAGCTCTAAAATATACTAGAATAAGTAGGCTATAATATTAATATAAAAGCCCTTAAGTATTTTATAAAGTATTATAAGTAATACCAGAAATATAGTATAATATAATAGGCTATACTTATTAAAAATCATGTTATTTTAGTAATTTTGAGGTTTAGATTATATAGTAAAGGCTGCGGTCTTTTATATATAACTTATAGAAATCATATAAGAAAGCTAGTTTTTTTATAGATTTAGAGAATAATTCTTTATAAATATTTAATTAATTAAGCTTTTATATACTATATACTATTTATACTTTTAATTTATTAATTTATTATTAAGTTATATTTTATATTCTAGTATACTTTATATAAGTTTT